GTTTTGTCCCGTGTATTAGCTATATTTATAGCAGGACACTAAAATTATTTTGACCCATCTATCATAAGCTCTGTTCATGTCCTGTTCATGTGAAGGATCTTGTCATGTTGTAGGAAGAACAAGGTCTTATTTTAAGTCCTATACCAATACCATGCATTAATATTCTGATATCTGTGAAATCAGCATTGCTAATGTCTGAATAGAGACCCTGTGATAGCCAGGAGTTTGCATGGAACTCTGTGGCCAGCTGGGACCACCAGTAACTACGAAGTCCAGCAAGGCTGATGTTCTTGGCCACATTGGATCATGTGGACACCTATCCACCTCCAGGTCCAGCTCAGAGCAGAAAGGCTCCAGGCCAGCTGTAGATTTACTGGCCAATATAGATGCGTTGTAAGATTTTATGCTAAGGAAATTTTCTTCACTGTTTGCAGAAGCCTATCTCTTTCACTGCTTATTGGCTGAAATTCAACAGATATTTTGGAATTATGTTGATATGTTCCGTCCTGGGTTCCGTCCTGGGTTCCGTCCTGGTTCCGGTCCTGTTCAACATCTTTATTAATTACTTAGATGAAGGGCTAGAAGGCATGATCATCAAGTTTGCAGACGACACCAAATTGGGAGGGATAGCCAATACTCCAGAGGACAGGAGCAGAATTCAAAATGATCTTGACAGATTAGAGAGATGGGCCAAAACTAACAAAATGAAGTTCAACAGTGACAAATGCAAGATACTCCACTTAGGCAGAAAAAACGAAATGCAAAGATACAGAATGGGGGACGCCTGGCTCGAGAGCAGTACGTGTGAAAAAGATCTTGGAGTCCTCGTGGACAACAAGTTAAACATGAGCCAACAATATGATGTGGCGGCAAAAAAAACTAATGGGATTTTGGCCTGCATCAATAGGAGCATAGTGTCTAGATCTAGGGAAGTAATGCTCCCCCTCTATTCCGCTTTGGTTAGACCACACCTGGAATATTGTGTCCAATTCTGGGCACCACAATTCAAGAGAGATATTGACAAGCTGGAATGTGTCCAGAGGAGGGTGACTAAAATGATCAAGGGTCTGGAGAACAAGCCCTATGAGGAGCGGCTTAAGGAGCTGGGCATGTTTAGCCTGAAGAAGAGAAGGCTGAGAGGAGATATGATAGCCATGTATAAATATGTGAGAGGGAGCCACAGGGAGGAAGGAGCAAGCTTGTTCACTGCTTCCATAGAGATTAGGACAAGGAGCAATGGCTTCAAACTACAAGAAAGGAGATTCCATCTGAATATGAGGAAGAACTTCCTGACTGTAAGAGCTGTTCAGCAGTGGAACTCTCTGCCCCAGAGTGTGGTGGAGGCTCCTTCTTTGGAAGCTTTTAAACAGAGGCTGAATGGCCATCTGCCAGGGGTGATTTGAATGCAATATTCCTGCTTCTTGGCAGGGGGTTGGACTAGATTGCCCATGAGGTCTCTTCCAACTCTATGATTCTATGATTCTATGTGATCAGTTTATTCAAAACAAAAAAGTCACTTGATGCTTTTGCCAATGAATGATGCAAATACATATAAGAACACTCCATTGTTCCTAAAATTAGTTCCTAAAATGTATTCCTGAAATTCTACACTGCCAATAGTCTGGTCTACTGCCATCTATAGAAAGTTGAAATCCAATACTAATTTGTTTTTGTTTGTTAATCAGTGTATAAATCAATGCATAACTAGGCTTCAGTTCTATATTTCTTGCTGTCTATCAATTCTGGAGTTGTGAGTTTTTAACAGTGTTCTCTACACAGCTGAATTGATAATACTGTAAAAACCAGCTGTCTTGGAAATGAGAAACGGTTTCTTTCCTCGCAACACAGCATTCTAATGGATGAAGCTGATCTGACCAAGAAGGAAAAACTTTCAGGAAGATGCTTTCCATAGTTTTCCTTGCCAAAAAGAAGTATGCATTGCTGTATGTGCTTCTCCTGCCACCTACCTGCCTGCTATTGTTGCTTTCCAAAAATGACTTCAGTAGCTTGAAACGCCAAACTTCTGGTGCTTAAAAATGAACAAAATTTGTCAAGTAAATTCAAATTGTCAATCATGCTTTTTATGTTATGCTTTTTAATGCTTGCAACCAATGTGAATTTATGAGGTAGTGTGAACTTTAAATAAGTAAAAACTGAATAGTTCGCTTTGAAAATCATTTACATTTACTGTAATGAGTAGAAATATGATTAATGTTGTTTTCTACTGTTTCTGGAAACACTAAAACAGTTCCTTGTGTTCGCTTGTCTCTGTATTAAATTCTTTTAACTCTATTTTGCTACTGTTAACCAAACATAGAATTAAATCAGATATTCCATACAGTTTATAGAATTCTTCATCATGTCCAATGGAACAGAAACAGACATTGGAATGGATTAGAAAAGCTGTTTTAATCACAGTTTGCAGATTCTCCATCACTCATATCCCAACCATAATCAACAGGAAGTAACCAAGTGGCCAGGATACATAAAAAGGAAACCATGACCTTCTGGAAAACTTCAGTTATTTTTGCCTGTCTTCAGTGACAGGGGAATGGTTCCATTTCATTTTACTGCACATCCAAAAGTTGCCACATATCATCCCTAATTATCTATGAAAAAGGTCCAAAGGCCCTAGTATCTCTAAGCATGATTAGGAAATCTTAAGGGATCAGTGCTTTTATCTAGTATAAAGGTTGCTTGGTATGCTCTCCAGGGCTGGAACAAATCCATTGGGTAAGAATAAGTATAGAACAACAAAGATGGCTTATAGAAACAACCTCCCAGTAAAATCCTGACTGATGAAGATGGTCAAAGGCCAACTGACCCATCACTGGGCCAGATGACACTGTGACTAATACAAATCCTTTTCAATCTAGGAATGTTGGGCTACCTTAATCCTGACCTAACCTTATCCAGAATTCTAGCTGTATCACTAGGCTAGAAAATGTTTGGATTCAGTATTCAATTATTTTGCCCTGCTACTAGCGGATCCTAGACAGCAAAGGAATTCTGCCAGCACATTGGCTGTGTGATCAGTCAAAAGAAGCATATTGTTGTGACAGAAGGACATTTCTGCTGATAGAAGTGGCTTTTGCCTTGTCCTGTACTAGGGCCGGCATTTTGTTAGGGACATATATACACACACATTGATTGTACACATGTATTATTATTGTATCATCATAACCATCATTTTAGTCTCTGCAGAGATTGACATTCACTTCAGTTACCAAAAAACTCCTCAAGTAGCATAGCCCTGCTGAAGTCCTTCTTTACCTGATGGCTAATTTTTGCCTATCAGGGTGCCAGACAGCACATCAATGACTGGCTATGGATGCATTTACAGTTAGTATTAATGCAGTTTGGCACCACTTTAACTGCCATGGCTCAGTGCTATGTATTCATGGAAGTTTAGCCTTGTCTGCTGGTGCCTCATTAAACTACAAATCCTAGGATTCCAAAGCATTGTGCAGAACAGCTAAAGTGGTGTCAAACTGCATTGATTCCATAGTGTAGGTATGTCCTAGGTCCCCAAGAGCCATCCCCTCTCACCTGGGGATGCGGCAGGCTATTACATCCGCATGCTGGGAGGAGGGCTGAAGCAGATGTGGGGGAGGGGGAGGGAAGATTCAAAAGGGCCACATCTGGCCCATACATCTGGGTTTGCCATGCCTTATATAGACCTTTCACACATAGCCTGAAGGTAATTTTATACACAAATATTTTTTTAATAATTTGTACATGTCTCTAGGTTTGTGTACATCAAACGATCAGAAAGCAAAGGTCTTTCTCTCCCTCAATCACCCATACAGACAATGTTAGATTTTGGAATATTTCCGATGTCAGGCTCTCAGATAAGGAATTCTCAACTTGTTTATTAAAAACTAAAAGGTATATATAGAAAGTTATCATTGCTGACTTTTTTCTCCATAGGTGCCAGGGAAGATGAGGTTATGGTATCAAATGAAAGTTGTTGTCATTCCATTTGAATTTTGCCTTTTATATATCAAAGTAGAAGGTGGAACGAGAAAGTTTATTTTAAAAAACATTCACAGTATAAGAACTTGCTTTAGTCTTTAGACTTGTCACCCTGAAGTCATTGTGTAAAGTTGAAATGATTTATGTATACTGACAGACAGAGTTCATGGACAGTAGCTAAGAGTCAACAGAAGGCCTCTGCAATATTCAATTTTATATTAAATATTTACTTTCTTGAATATGGATGAGAGCAGTTAATGAGAAATGTGCAAGTATAGAGGAAGTGGGGATTTGAATAAACCAACTTGTTTGTTTTCTGGCTACACTGATTTGTATTGATTTAGTCTTTATTAAATTAAATAAACTGTGGAATTCATTCATACCCAGGATTTTGAAATAGCTGAGTACATCACCATTTTTTAGGAAATGAGGGTTTTCTTGGACCTTAGTATTTATGCACAAAAAAATTGATGTTGTATTTTGTACACTAACATTGAGAAGACACCATTTGGGTGAGTTTATTTCAGGGTTAGGCAACTGTCTCATAGTGAAAAAAATGTTTAAAATGGTTTATTTCTTTGAGGAAAAAATAATGAAGAGTTACATTCTTTAAAAATACCATGCAGATTTCTAATATCTACTAACACATTTCTTTATGTATTTAGGGTGATAATTTTTTCAGCATACTTTTGAATATAATTTAACAGGAGTCATTAAATTTGACAATCATTCATCAAAATTATTAAGATTTAAATTATCTGACTTAAATCTTAAACAAAAAAACCCCCCAAACCCCTGTGTCTAATCCATCTAAATCTGGATCCATCCCACCAGTTCTGAATTTGTGGATATGGGCAATATTTTAATTATTTCTTGTGCATCTTTAGTCTAGATTTTGTGCTGAATGCTCATTGTTTAAAATTGTTGATTTCTTTGAGGGAAAAATAGTGAAGAGTTACATTCTTATATCTGTAAATGCCTTCTGTGACTTTGTCTTCTTCTTTCTTTTTTCTTTACCTTTTTAGTCTCCCAACAAACCTACAATGCCTCAAGAGAAGATAAGACCTCTTACCAGCCTTGATCACCCACAGAGTCCCTTTTATGACCCTGAAGGAGGCTCCATAAAGTCAGTAGCCAGAGTTGTGATTGAAAGAATTGCACGAAAGGTACCAGCGAGACATTCCAATGAATAGAATATTGAGCAAAACAGATAATAAATTAGCATATGTTGCTCAGTTAGCCATCACTGCATGATGATGATGATAATGGAAAGAAAAATATGTATCACAGAAAAGTTATAAATTTAAATCTTGCAAACATCTGGAGCATATTTTTCAAGGGAAATCTGGCCTACCAAAGTGTGAAACCATTAAGTGACTATGGGAGTAGTCAGGGTGTTTCTTAAATAAATTTTGAGAGGGCCTTGGGTAAATGTGCTCTCTATTCTTTATTTTCCATGGTCAGTTTTCTCTTCTCTCAATCCATCACTGGTCTTCCTTTTTATTTATTCTAGTAATTTGACAGTAGTGGCAAGAACAGCCACAGAATTCCTTCCCAACCACCTTTCAGAACAAAACAAATAAAAATTGTTTATATCTTATATTACTATCTCCATTGCTGGTTAACAAACTGACTCAATTGCAGCCTTAATACAAACTGAAGTTATTTTTCCAAGCAAATTTAACACACATTCTGCCTTGAGAATCACTTAGCCAAACAGGGTTCCAGGGTATTTAAAATCTTGTCCCTTATTGCACCAATGCTCTCATTGACCACATCAAAGGCAGCATGTGATTGGTTCAGATTGGTTCAGATTGCACAGTGATTGGCTCAGATTGCACAGTTGAGGAAATGCTTTAATTTCACCTTTAATGATGCCTGCAGTCCTGACTGAAAATCAGAGTAGGTTTTTTATTGCAAAGGTGTACCCCACCAGATTTTGTTGGACTGCACCTCTCAGCAGTTCCAGCCAGCGTAATCAATAGATGGAAGTTCCAGTTCAACAACATCTCAAAGACCACCCAAGTCCCATTCCTGCACCTTGAGGTCACAGCTATAGCAGTCCCTCTGGTCTCACTTGCCCTTATAGGTGACGAATAGGCATCCTGGCTCACATCTGCCCTTACATCTTTTCTGGTAAAACCCAGTAAAAGAAATGACATGATAGTGGATAATACTTTCCCATTCCACCTAACAATCAGTTACACCTCCTTTTCTCAAAATGCACTTGTGCTATTTTAAGCTCATACTTACAAAGTTTTTTTTAAAAAGCCACATGCTCTTATAATTTAGTAGCAAGGGTAACTGGTGCTTTCCAAGCCAGAAGAGCAATGAGCTTGTTCTAGATTTTAGTTTGAACTTTGAAAGAGCTATCCAAAATGAGGAATTTATTTTGAAATAGGATTCAGTACATTAAATAGTTCCTTTAAGGATCAAACTAAAATATAGAAAAGATCCACCAGAGTGGGCAAAAAGTCACAAAGGCATCTGATGTTTTGGTAACTTTGGAGGGGGAAGGGGTATGAAAAGGTTTTACACATAATGCAATGTAACTTTCTTTCCTCTGTTCATGATGCTATGGTATTGTAAAGTAAAAAAATAAATAAAACTGTTATTAAATATTGAAGCCCCTTTGTGACTTTTGGTTCACTCTTTAGAAACCATCAGCTGTTTTGGGTCATAGAGATATTAATAAGAGAAAGAGAGAAGTGTGGAACTTTAGCTCACTAGAAACATTGGTAGGACCTAAGCTTTAAACAAGCCCTTATAATGCATAAAATATCCAACCATGCAGATCTTGTTTGCACATCTTCTGGTAACTGATTTTCCAATCCAGTGCCCACAACTGCTTGATTTCCTCAGCCAATTTAAACCTTGGCAAATGTTTCTTTGTAGGGGGAACAATGCAATGTTGTTCCTGATAACATTGATGACATTGTTGCAGATCTTGCCGCAGAAGCTCAAGAAGATGAAGGTACTTTTTAATGATGTTCTACTTGCACGTGTTTGTGTGTGTGTGTTATACATCACCTTCCAATACAGCTGCTCTGTATTCCATAATGCCTGCGTTATTATTAGAGCAATATTAAAAACAGAAGGAGAGAAAAAAACCTAGTTTGCTTAGCCATTTGCTGTTGGAGCTGGCATCATTACTTAATAAACACCCTGGGATGGAGCCAGTAGGCAGGTTTTTTGAAATTGACAACAGCACTATACTAATTTAGAAGAAACCTAATCCCACTGACTTTATTATCCTGCACTGGGTTGGTCTTCATCAAGTCCTACTATTTTCCTCATCTAGCACTCTTCTTTATTAATGATGGCATTTTGTTTATAAGGGCAAGCTGTCCTTGTAAGTTTATGTAGAATTCAAATGAGAAGGAACCGTGCAGCTAAGGCTACTGCCTTAGTGTATCTTAAATTGGCCTTTTAGAGATGATGGAGTTGGATTTTAAAAGCAATCAAGGGACATTTTGTTGCTCTGTTTTTACATAAGGGCCAAGAGAAGGTTCACTGCGTTAGTATCTTTTGTGTCTTTTATCAACTTTCCCCCAAGATGAAAGCAATTTCAGCTTGTTCTTGTGCTATGGTAATGTTCTCAACTGAATATTGTTATGTGATCTCATTAAAAAAGAGCATCCAGCCTAAAGACCTAGTTTTGAGTCTGTGCAGTAGGTTACAGTTAATTCCCTAGACAAATAGGGTATTTTTTTTAAGTAGCCTTGGCCTCTTGGTACCTGGTGGAAAATGTGGCAACCATATATGTGATTGCTGTTCTCTCTTTCTTAGTACCATACCTGATTGATTGATTGATTGATTGATTGATTGATTAAATAGTTTTGGGGAGTGGTTTACATTTAACCAGGAGTGTAGTCAAGGGGAAGAACAAATGTGGCCATTGCCACCCAAATAAGAGTGGATTCTATATTTAACCACTTTATGTTATCTAGTGGTCTTTATCCTACTGAATTTCCAGTATATGTAGGCAGCTGGAGGAGATTATTGCTAATACAACAGTTAAAGTGGTGTCTCAAAGGTAGCTATGTTCCTGGCAGGAAATACACTGCAAGAGTATAACTTTAAATAAGTCCTTGAAGTAGAATTTTTTTTAAAGAGATCTTTTCTTTTCTGTCTTCCAGTATTTGGGCCATGATCCCATACACTTTTAGGTAGCCTAAATACTAATCGGTGTGTTTTTTCTAGGCTGCGCAAATGTACCATTACCTTGGACAACTCTGCTTTTAGCACAACCATGTATTTAGATATTCATTTCATGTATTATATTCTACCTTTCTCCCAATGTGAGACTAAAGGCAGCTCACAATCCATTGCACAACCCTCCCATCCAAGTCAAATGAGGTCTCTTCCAACTCTTTGATTCTATGAAATGGGAAAGATAGGGCTCAGCCTGCACTACAAAACCATTGTCCACAGGAGGGACCGTTGTCTGTTTTGTTTTTTGTTTTTTTACAATATTTGAGAAAATATGATTGCTTGCTCAATTATTTTTATACCCATGAAACACATTTGGTGTTTTAGCCTGCTTTTGATCCAGTGAGACATAAAATCACAAATGAAAGATGTTGTGACATCCTGTAGCAGTGAATTCTTTAGGTTGATGGTTAATATTCATATTTCTTTGATTTTTTTTTAAGATGACACTCCAGAAACCTGCATCTACTCCAACTGGTCCCCTTGGTCAGCTTGTAGTTCTTCCACATGTGAAAAGGGCAAGCGTATGAGGCAGAGAATGCTCAAAGCTCAGCTTGATCTCAGTGTGCCTTGTCCAGAGACTCAGGACTTCCAGCCATGTATGGGCCCAGGCTGTAGCGATGAAGGTAGGAATGAGAACAAAGAGAATGAGAACTGAGATCTACATAACCACTTTAAAAAAATTCAAAGTTAGGGTGAGATTTAGTGATTCATCAGCAAATTTTCTTTGGTGTTTTAGATGGCTCTACATGCATGATGTCAGAATGGATAACATGGTCTCCATGTAGTGTGTCCTGTGGCATGGGAATGCGATCAAGAGAGAGATACGTAAAGCAGTTCCCTGACGATGGATCTATGTGCAAAGTTCCCACTGAAGAAACTGAGAAATGCATTGTAAATGAGGAGTGCTGTAAGTATTAGATGTAATCTTGCAACATTTCATCAGTGCAAAAGCATGATTTAAACTCTTTATTAAACAAGTATCAGTAGAACTGATCTTCTGCCTGTATATTTCTGATTAGCCCCAAGCACCTGCCTGGTGACAGAATGGGGGGAATGGGATGAATGCAGTGCCAGCTGTGGGATGGGGATGAAGAAACGGCATCGAATGATAAAGATGACCCCAGCAGATGGATCCATGTGTAAGGCGGAAACAACAGAAGCTGAGAAATGCATGATGCCTGAATGTCGTAAGTATCCACAATCTGCCAAATGGCTGTGGAAAGTATTGACCTGCTTGATATATGGCACAAGCATAATGTATTGATACCGGTGGGAAACCAACAATGAAACATGCAAATGACTCATGCAGATAGATGACATAATCCATCGCTGACTGGTTTTCTTATCATTGTAGTCTACCAAAGTTCCCCTTGATACAACATTTCAAATAGCCTGTTTTATTGAAAACTACTAGCATGCAAGTATAATATTATCCTATAGAGAGAGCCCACATCTCCAGGAAACTGCCTGTGACATGATTGTGAATAAGGATGTAATTCGTCACTAATTTTCTTCTCAAAGGAAGCAATGAGTAATCTTGTCCATTTTCTTCCAAAGAGAAAAAAAAATCCACAATGATACAGTTTTCAAATCCTATTTACAATTCAGGGCTCATTCTTCACAAAATTAGCATTTTCTGCTGTTTTCTGTGCAAAATAATCATGCACCAAATTTACACTGAACAAGTCCTGAACTTTGAGAATTCCCATCAGTCCAGGGTCTTTCATATCAGGGTTTCTCACCATTTGAAAAAAAACATGTATTTTCAGTCATTTGGGGGGATATTTTCTACTGTATGGAACTTTCTATCCCTAATTCTAAAGTGTATTAAAAGCACAGAAACTGTCTGCCTGAGGCTTCTTTTTTCTCCTTTGACACAGATGGGGTTTTGTACATTGATTTTTTTTGAGTTTTCTGGAGTAATTTGCTAAGGTTTCTCAGGAAATAAGTATTAAGTGATTGACAGTTTCTGATCTGTTCAGTTTTGCAGCTTGCCAGTTTGGGTGTCATATTCATAGTGAAAACACTAACACAACTCCAATATTTCTCAAGAAATACACAGATAATTGAGAAAGAAACAAAACCCAATCGGTCCTTTATCTCACAAGACAGCAAGCTAGCTGTGGGGGGGGGGGAGCACCCTGGTCAGCTCTCTACAAAGCAGATCTTGGGGAATTAATTCAACACATTACGAACGTTGTTTTGGGGCAGTTTAAGAGATCTTTTATAGTTAGAGATAACTGTTAAGTGCTTTGGATAAAATTTATTCTAATCCTACAGTTTGGCCATTTTAAAAAATGGGATTAATGACTAACGAGAATAATAGTTTTCATGGTCTTCATTCCCGAATGGCTAGTTTTACATTTCTTTCTAAAAGTATTGAACTAACAACACATTTCCTTTGGCAACTAATGTCATGCATTGACCAATTATTGCCAGTATTATAGGAAGTCAAAATGTTTTGCCTATTACCATAGAAGAAAGACACAGATGTTTATTGAACACATTTTAAGTAAAATCAATTACTTGGACTTACATTTGAAGCCAAGTCAGTAACATAGCAGGGAATGGATGTTCTCCATACTGCTATACTTCTGCAACCCTGTCTTTTTGAAATGACACCCCTGCCCAAGTAGATTATGGGGTGTCACATGCAATGATTTATAATGTCTTCCCTTGACCAACAGCCTCAGTGATATCTGGTATATCTGATAGCATGTTCAGTTGCAAACCTAAGCAACCCTCATAATATAAGAGGAATAAGGTAAGAAGGAGCACCATGATAGGAAAACAGAACCAGTAGAAATACTAAAGAGATAAGAGGAGATGCAAATGGTAAGAAATGATAAAAGTAAGTGATCAGAACTGAAATTTTCTTTCTCAACTAAAATAAGACATTTTCTCAAATTAGTTCATATTCAATAGTAAATATTCATCCAATACCGGTTCCATCTAAATATGGTATGAAAAAAAAAACAGCAGATGTGTACAGGGATGTAACTGCATTATCTTGTTTACCTCCACGTGTTCAAGATTTCTTGAATTTCCCACAGTAGACCACAGCAACCACAGTCTCCGTTTTGTATATAAGGATAATTTCCTATGACATACATTCCACACAGCATATTCTGGTATTGAACACAGGGTTAAATAGAATATTGAACACTGTATTCAATTCTAGGACATGCAGCATGAAATTTATGATATATGAAATGAGAAAATGTAGTGTAAAAATATGTATGTAAAATATTGCCCTGAGGTGAAGAATAATTAGCATCTCTCAAAATCCTTGCATTATTTTTTTCCTGTGGTGTATCTATTTGCTCCAGTGAACCTTAGCATGTTATAAAAACAGACAGAAATCTGTGAAGTCTGCAAGGGCAGATTATTACTTGAAGAAACGATAAACAGCACCAATGGATGTCTGGAGGATGAACCATCTCTGGCCCATAAAAACCAGCAGTTGAATGCATGCAGCTGTTTGCCACCAAATCACACTGCTCTCCAGTGTCTATTCCTTTTACACATGATGAAGCCAGCTACAGGAAATATTTGTGGTTTACAACTGAATTGATGATGTGTGAATATCCATGTTGTCTCATTGCTTCCTTCCCTACCAAGACAATGTCAATTTCATGTCTAACATAAGTTATTCTGTATTGACTCATCCGCCATCTCCATGTTCATTCAGTCCTAGATACTTTCCTTTTATCTTCTAATACACATACTTTAAAAAAATCCTTTCTAGTTTCTAGCTGGCACACATTTTTTCCCTAGGTGGGTTACGCTGTCCAGTGAGCAACCATGAGAAATTGTGGTCTGATTCACTGCCAAGTCAGCTTTCTCTATATGTAGAGAATCCCTTTCTTTACCCCACTGAAGTCCATTACTAGGCAGTCTTACAATGACTATTATCTCTACATTATTTAGGCAATTCCAGTGCCAAAAAAATTCCATGATCAATTTCATGTTATGATAGCAATGGATATCTTTTGCTCTTACATTTGTAGACTTGCTTTCACCTTCATCTGATGATAGACCAAGCATTCATTAACTACTCAACTGGGGTCAAATTTGAAGTTCCCAACCACATGAGAAACTTAGATGGAAATGAAAATGACATCAGAATTTTCCATAAATCATGAGGTTTTTTTTATTCCTGGCACATCACAAACTGTACAGTTTCTGAGAGTGTTCAATCAAAATCTACACTCACTTGTCTTTTTTTACTATGCACAGAAAATAACACTGCTTCCCAGGGGATGAGGTTCACCCACTTATATTCATTTCCGTTATATCCTTGGGAAGAGTACAGAAAAGAATGGAAAACTGCTTCATTGTTCATGACATTTACCTAGACTGGAATAATCAAGATTTACCATCCCTACCTTTAACTTACTTCTCTCCTCGCTTTGCTTTAATTTTAGCTCAGTAAGACTGAGTAAGTTCCAACCACCACACGTCCATGTAATGAGTATTTAGTTATTGTAACATGACAGGCAAAGCTCTCTTATACCAGCGCAGGACTACTATATATTAACCTTGGCAAATTACTTTTGAAAAGCACAGTTTAAGAGAAGAAGAATCCATCAGCAGACGTATTAGCATAAAAGGAAAAATGATGCAAAAGATATGTGATCAGATTTCTCAATATCTGTTTCTTTACTTAAAAGTGTGGGGATGTGACCTTAATATGTAACCCCTCTCATGTAAGTCATGTGACCTTAATATGTAACCCCTCTCACTCCCACAATCACATGGAACAATGCTCTACAAAAGGCATGGGCGAACTTCAGCCCTCCAGATGTTTTGCACTTCAACTCCCACAATTCTTAACAGCCTACCAGCTGTTAGGAATTATGGGAGTTGAGTCCAAAATGCCTGGAGGGCTGAAGTTTGCCCATGCGTGCTCATTATGAAAACATTCACCTTGCATATGTGTGCATGTGTGGAGCTTATAAAATTGAGGAATAAAGTATGCCCAAAACAATAGACATATATTAAAAGAGCAGTGTCTAAAAGTGTATTACCATAATTCTTTAAAAATGTGATTTAGCCAGTGGGTGAAATTGTATCAATTGCAGTTGGACTCTTATATAATTTAAATACATTTCACATACTTAGATAAATGTGCAAAAATCACGGATTTTAGTGCAAGACAAAAACACAAAATCTAAATAATGCACCAGTAAGGCCTTTTCGCAAACCACCATGAGAATTTCAGGTCGGGGGGGGGGGGCTGAAGCCCCAAGCCCCCCCCCCCCCCGGCTACTTGCCTGCCTGAAGGTCCCTTGGGATTGATAGATGGAAACAGAAGTAGAGCAGATTATCCTCTGCACATTGATGACACCTCAGACTAAGCTTCCAGTTTCATGAAAAGTATGTGGGTATAAGGCAAAGCCTTGTGATAGTCTACAGGCCAATCCTTAAGGAATTGAGCAGACGTCTCTAACACTTCAATGTATCATGTATAATGCAATCTCAGAGAAAGCTACAATAGTGAATGGTATCAAATATTAAGAGGTCTGAGAAAACCAATAGGACTGCAGTTCTCCTCATCCAATCTGCAGCATAAATTATTTACAAGAGCAACTAAGACTTTTTCCAAAACTGATTGAGGAATGAAATTAAACCTCTGCTGCTATGTCTGAACACCTTCAGATTGATACATCTCATAAAGAGGGCCTAATATGTCTGAAGATACATCTGCGGTTGTCTTCTAAATACTTTTAACATAGGACTGGTAAAGTTTGCATTCTAAATCACCAACGCGGCATTTGATAACTGATTTAATTCTTTGCCCACATGAAAGGAGGATGATGAATGGGATTGTGATGGTGTCGGACGATTTGGCTCTTTTAACTGTGATGATAATGTTTTAACGTGTATAGTGCTGATATTTTAACCGTGTAATGAAGTGGCATTGTGTTGTTATTGTATATTTTTTGTATGTTAACACATGTTGTGAACCGGTCCAAATCCCTCTTTGAAGGTGAGAGGGTCGGTATATAAAACCTCGAAATAAATAAATAAATAAATAAATAATATATACATTTGCTACAAAAAGTATTATTCTCCACAGTACTACTCCAGTAACCCCACACTCAATTACACATTGGCTGGATAATGGTTTAAAATTGAGTTGTTGACAGTGAGTGGAAAGGACTTCACCTTTTTTCCTCCTCACTAGATACCATACCTTGTATGCTGTCTCCATGGTCTGAATGGAGTGACTGCAGTGTAACATGTGGAAAGGGGATGAGGACCCGACAGAGAATGCTGAAATCTGCAGCAGAGTTGGGCGACTGCAATGAAGAGCTGGAACAGGTGGAGAAATGCATGCTACCAGAGTGTCGTAAGTACAGCTATCTGGAGTCTGAAGGGTCATGTCCTTGTGAAATTGAAATAGATGCAATCTGCATATTACCACTTGATGTACACAAGGCTATTGATATACTGCAAGGGTGAAGTTCTTACTGTGCAACAAAGAAGCAAAAACAACCTGGTACTTACTGTTTGGTAATGTGTTAGATCTGTAGCTGATACAAGACACCATCCATATCACAATTACAGCCTAGATAATTCACAAGATTGGGGTATATAGAAAGAAAAATATCACTGACTCAAATACATATTTAAAGTCAATTTAAAGACTGAAAAATGCATGTGAGAAACACAACAAACATATGAGGGTGTGATGAGAAGAAATTACAAAGTTTGGGCTTTGTCACAGAATGCAATTTGGGGCAAAATGTCAACAGTGCCCAGTGTCTTTAAAATACAATTCCCACAGTGGTTGTAGCACCAGGTTGTTTTCCCTGGACAAGGCCCTTTTTCAGGTATAAGGACAGGGTGGAGTTAATAGAGCCAAATACAAGGCAATTCCAGCCCATTTCACATTACAAGAAAACTGGGGCCGGGAGTAGGTTCATTTTTCAGCAAGCTAATAATATAGTCCAAGTAATACTGGTTATATTTATTTATAGTATCAGGAGTGAACCAAACAGTTGTATTGTATTTATAAAAAAAACTGGAAAGTTTGAAAACTTGGCATTCTATTAAATATCCTAATAATAATACTGGTATGCAAAGCTGATAAAGAATGACCAAAGAATACTCAAATCTGTAATTGCTGCAAGAAGTACTTCTATCAAGTATTTATATATTAGGCAACCAACAAGAAGGTAACACGATAGCCATCATCAAATGGAACATATAACATTGTCTTCTACACTAGAATACAGGACTTGATGGGTTGAATTTAAATTAGAATATATTCTGTCTAGGGATTTAGTCGAACATCCTGATGGTAAAAGCTAGTGAACAGTAAAATGGATTACCTTGGAAGGTTGTGAACTCTACATTTTTAAACTAAGGTTGGATGGCCATCTGCCAGGGCTTCTTTTGCTATGGATTTTTGCATTGGCATGGGGTTAGACCAGGCATGAGCAAACTTCAACCCTCCAGATGTTTTGGACTTCAATTCCAAAAAATCCCAGCCAGCCTACCATCTAGAAAGGAATTATTAGGAATTGAAGTCAAAAACACCTGGAGAGCCAAAGTTTGCCCATACCTGGGTTAGACAATGAATATTTGAATTCTATGCTGCTGAAATGTAAATGTTAATTATTTTAAATATCAAAAACTATCTAATAATGAGGGCAAGAATTCTCCTGAGCAATTACAAACACATAATCAATGCTTATGCTTTTGTAACTGTTATATATTCATGAACTTTATGAAGCTCCTAAAATGGGAGCTTTGTGGGGATCATAAAAGTCCCCTAAATCTTAATTACCTATATGAAACCACTTATATTGGTAGGAATCTGTGACCCTGTCAATGAAAAAGCAGCTGCCTGACACTCTAATCCAACACATTCCCTCACACAATCAATTTCTGGTGTGAAGGTGATTTGTGACAGGGATCCTTTCTCTGCCTGTTGTGTTAGAGATTTCCCTCAGGAGTGGGTGAGTATGTCAAGTGAGCCACTTCTTTCAATTTACATATTCATAAAAAACAGTGACACAGATCTATATACACATATACATGTATGAGCCAATACAATCTATACAATATTTGTATTTGATTATGGTCTCCCTTCCTCCCACCCCTCACAATTTAGTGACTTCCTGTCCCTTGGGTTGAAGACATTCATATATTACATTGCTTTTCTATTCTTACTTCTGGCCTAATATTTATTTTTATAAATTCATTACACAGATTCTAACAGGTTAAATTATGAAGCCTTCCATAAAAACTTTTCCTTCTTTCTGGATAGTTAATTTTAAAAAAAAATAGCAGAAATTGACAAATTAGCAATGATGAAAAAAAGAAAAAAACGCATAAACCTTTATCAAGAACTGGGAACTAGTTCTAAACTAAGTGAGCCACTTCTTAATCAATAGGGAAATAGTCCCTTCGTATCCCTGTTGACTGCTTACCGGTAATAGAGATTGGGGACTCAGGCCAGAATCTACTCCATAGTGCATAGTTGTCATGCCAGATTCTATCCATGTTTACTTAGAAGTAAACTTAGAGAGTTTGTTAGGACTTAATTAATTTCAGACTCAAAAGTTGATCTGAGTGTGGAGTTGTAAAATTTGCTATGAAACTATTGAGGATTTTTTTCATATTTTTAACTTTTACACTACAAGCATATTCTCTAATTCCAGCTGGCACACTAACTTGAGTCTAACAGTAACCATATTTTTACATTCTCTCTGCCTAGCAATTGACTGTGAGCTCACAGAATGGTCCCAATGGTCTGAATGCAACAAGTCGTGTGGGAAAGGTCATATGATTAGGACAAGAATGATCAAAATGGAACCCCAGTTTGGAGGAGCTCCATGTCCAGAAACTGTGCAGCGCAAAAAATGCCGAATAAGGAAATGTTTGAGAAATCCCAGTGTTGAGAAAAGGCGGTGGAAAGAACCTCGTGAGAAAAGGAGAAGTGAGCAAGCAAAAGAAGACATTGATAGTGAGCAATTCCCAGGTATGTTGTAGTACACTGCATACTACTTAGAACAGTTGAGTCTCCTGTGGGCTGGGAAAGGCGGTATACAAATCCAGTAAATAAATACATGAATAAATAAACAGTTGTACCTAGTGCAACTACTAGGAGAAATAAACAGTTACACAACACAGGAATAGACAACTATGGCCAGAATCCTGCCAGGGACTTAGATTAGCAGGGATTAGAAATAGTTACTTCCAAAATGCTTCCATATCCAGTAATGGGGTGCCATTACATTATTACAGCAACAGGATCGATCAAAACTTGTCCTCAACTTATACATGAGATCAATTTAGGTACAAGGATATATAATAACTAGGCTTGTGTTCAGCTTGGCCAGGTGACCATAACAGTAAGGGCTTAGCCGTCACGTTTTTCATCTGTAACGGGACCACATGGCATCCTATCACAGCTCCTCCTCCCGTATTCGGCACTACATGGTGCACAAAGAGGCTACTGTGTGCTGCTTGCATGGGGTTTCCCTGTGAGACCTGCCTGTTGGGCCAATCAGAATAGAAGAATGCAATGACGTGTCTTATGCACTTCTTCCTTAATCCTGTCGCTCAAACCCAGACTTCCAAGAAAGGAAGAAAGGAAGAAAGAAAGAGAGAGAGAGAGAGAGAGGCAGACAGAACGACAGAAAGAAAAGGGTCCCAGGAAGGATGCTTTCTTAACCCCGTTTCTCAAACCCAAATAACCTTGAAAGAAAGATAGGAAAGGGTCCCAGAAATGATGTTTCTTTAACCCTGTTCTTCAAACCAAGATGCCCTTGAAAGGAAGATAGGAAAGGTTCCCAAGAGGGATACTTACTTACCCCTGTTCTATAAACCCAGACCCCATAAAAGGTAAATAGGAAAGGGTTCCAGGAAGGATGCTTCCTTAACCTCATTGCTCAAACCCAGACTTCCTTGAAAGGAAAAGAGGAAAGGATTCCAGGAACAGAAAAGGGAGCCTCAGAAGTTCCCCATTCCCACCAATGGGCAGGATCTTCCCAAATGTTTTGGCTGTAGTCTGAAAATGGTTATAAGGCAAACCGCCTGTTTTCTGAAGGTGCACAAAAATGGATCTGCAGGTCTCCCGGAATCCAGCCAACAGAATGGATTGAGGTTCAGCCAAAATGCACAAGCCTGATGAGAACTGCTAGAATCCTAAATGGCTACTTAGTTAAATTTGCATAATTAAATGGCTAGTCTTGATCTACCCATTCCCATTCCACCTTTAAAAACAGCCATCAGATTGAATGGAGAAGGCCTCTTCAGCTTCCAACTGCTATACAAGGAGGATATTTCCATCTTCTGCCAGTGAGCAAGGCTATGACAATCAATAGCAGACCATCTGCCACAAGTCCTTGCTAATGCAAGTGGAGTGGAAACATTATCCTTCAGTATTCTCTGTTGCAACAGTTCCACTGACTGCCAACACAATTCCAAATGCTGGTTTTGACCTACAAAGTCCAATACGGCTTTGGTCCAGGTTATCTGAAGAAACGTATCTCCCTCTACAAATCTGTCAGATATCTACAATCACCCAAGGAAGGCCTTCTCTCTGTTCTGCTCAAGTGTATTTGATGACATCAGGGTAGAATCTCCACAGGGAGAAAGTTGAGGTATAAATAAATAATATTTTTATTTATTTATTTACTGCATTTATATCCTGCTTTTCTCAACCCGAAGGGGACTGAGGGAGGCTCACAACAAAGGCATAATTCAATGACATGAGTACATATAAAAATAAATCACTTATGTAATTACTTATGTAATTAAAACATATCAATTTTATTTAAAATCACACAATCCAAAAGCATATTTCAGGAGCCATTCTGGTTGTCACTTGCATAATTCTTTCATCATGATCAGAAGTTGTATTGACCTCCTTTTCTTGATTTATCTGATGGCTCTTCAGGTGGACTGAGGCAGCATTTACAGGGGTTTCCAATATGACTATGTAGTCTACTGAGTATAGTCAAGTTATGAATCCATAATTCTAGGTTTCAAACCCTTAACTACAATACTCATGTTAAATAACAAGACTAGCCTTACCATGAGGTACCATGAGACAGCTCCTTCAGGCAGCAAATTGTATGTGTTGAAAAAACATAACAAATTCATAACTGGTTTCGCCTAAATCTAATTGCTAAGTTTGAAATAACTCACTATTTAGCAATTAGCAGTAATTCAGAGGATGTAGTGTAATTAGACAAAGGATGTTAGCCTTGGTTTAGCATCAAACAACAGTAGTGATGATGGCAGCAATGACAGTGATGACAATTATGATGAATTGCAAAGAGAAGGAAGAGGAAATTGTTGCTTTTAAAAAAAAGACCACAGTCAGTATCTTGACTAGTGTGTGCACTCTGTCTCTTGATTTGGAGGAGGGGAATCTTTGAAGTTCTGCCTCAGGCAGCAAAATGTCTTGTGCAAGACATAACAAGTAGAAAAAGGGAGACATTTCAAGTGCACTCTCATGATTATGATAGAACTCACTCATGATTTTCTTTTTCTAATTTTAGGTTGCAAGATGAAACCATGGACTGCTTGGTCAGAATGTACCAAATTGTGTGGTGGTGGAATCCAGGAAAGATTCATGACTGTCAAGAAGCGATTCAAAAACACCCAGTTTACTAGCTGCAAAGACAAGAAGGAACTGAGAGCTTGCAATGTCCACCCTTGTTAGCAAAACCTGTCTTTTAAAAAATGCACTCTGAGCTAAATGTAAAATCAACCTTGATTTGATTTTTTTTAAGAAAAGATATAAATTGTGTATATTAGTCTTCATTTTTGCAGTGTGGTTTGCTTATTAGTCTTGCTGGTGCAAGAGATATATTTTATAAATATTTCCTCCCAGATGTAAGCTGAGAGTTGTTACTTGATGCTCCAGCGAGCCCTTAATGCATAAAACCAGTGAAGTCATTGTGAAATCCTATAACTTTTAAGATTATAGCCATCTCTGTGTTGATATACCATAATCATAGAAATATTCCCTATAAATATGTGAGGTGCATGCATAATTGACATTGCAAACTTAATTGTCTATTTGGATCTAGTTTCAAAACACTTAAAGCAGTGCCTCTGCCAAGGAATTAACTTCAACAATACTACAGGTGCATATCTATCTTTTACCATCAACAACTGTAAAAATTGTATAATAGTAATCCTTTGACACAGTTATGTTTCCTTCATGGAAATGCTACAGGCCCCTACAAAACAAAATTATTTTTGTTCTTCTTTCCACTTTCTAATAGCAGGGATGAAAATTTTTACTAGCCAGCGGACTGCATCCAATACCAATTTGCACACTCTGTCACATTTTGGGTGATGAGATACAGTCAAACAGGAAGACACTTCACTTGATCTTCCTAATATGAAGTAGAGTTTGAACTGTAAAGAAAAAAAATATGGGTTTCAAAGAGTTGGATCTATTGCTTTGAGAGAAATCCTGGTGCAGAGTATGTTTTCTAAACCCTGATGGATATGGTGTAGAAGTCCAGGAGTGGAGCTGCCTAAGTCCAAAGGTCCAAACCTTTCTATAACATTCTTAGGAGTAAGAAGAGTATATTTTTCCATCTGTGCATCAGAGGTTGGTTTTGTTTCTTTTAGATACAACACATTGATTTTGCTTCTCCATCTCGCCCTAGAAACATTAACTTGCTTTCCAGATAAACCACTACACCTACCTTATTTTTGTTTCCTCTTATTTTCCTGCTAGGTCTCTGGCCTTAGTGGTTATAATTGTCAGCAGTTATATACATAAATTAGCTGTACTGTTGAAACTCATAGGTTGATGCTACTTTACATATTATATAATGGATCATTGTTTGAAAACTGACAAGAACTTGAAAGATAGAAAATGTGAGAACCATTACAAAGAGTATAATTTATCATTGGTTAACTTGTCTCATAGAAGAAAAAGGAGGATAGGGTTGGCCATAGGGCTGAAGAGTAGCTCGCTGCAAGCCAGGAATTGATAAGGGCCAGAATCCAGTTGGGAAATTAATTACATCTACATATGTGCACATAAATCTGCAGGAATTAAAACTATGCAGTTGCCTAACATCCATATCCAGAGATGGGGTGCTGTTACAGAGCCAGCAAATTGCCCAGTCTACATTAATAACCATTTCACAAAGGAACTGTTGCACAATGAGAATGTATTGGTCCGAACAATGTCTGTTGGTCTCAAAGCACTTCACATTGGTCTGACAGCAACAAAACATATTTAGAGAGAGGCCCTGTTACTGAAGACGGAAGGCACTATTTTAGAATGTACATCCTTTCATTTGATTTTTCTGACTTTATCAATGTCATATTGAAACCAAGAGGATTTTCAACAGAAAGGTTGTTTGAAGTCCATGAATTTTGACAATGGTCTTTTATCTTCAGGAGACAGGTGTACGTATGTGGCTTGCCGCTTGCACCCACCCACCCAAATCTTTAATGGTTTTTTTTCCCATCTCACAAGACTTCTCCTCAGATATCCTTCATATTCTTTCCTGGGTGCCTTGGGGGAGTTCATGATCTTGTCACAAATAGTGCATAACAGTGAAGGAGTTATGGAAGGAAAGTCAGCCAAAACCATTATCACCTTCTTTAATCTGTTCCTTTTGGATTTATTACATTTAGATGAACAATTGCTGTATTTTCATGTAACAATTAACTTGGATGGAAATGGCACTGAATGGCCAGCTATTTACTTTATAAATCTACCAAAGTCCAAGGAACGGGAATATCTAAGCCCCCTATAGATTTGTAGGGTGCTAGGTAGTACTGAACAGGATTGCCATGAAGGAACAAGCACATGTATGACTTAATATGTGAGATTTGGTTGATGGGCCCTTGTTTTTCATTCCTGGGTTTTGGATATTTAAGATCCAATTATGTTTTACTTCAATAGGACACATATCCACTCCAAATATGCATGAAATGTGTATGCCCTGGACTACGTCCATTGGCATTTAAATGCAAAAAAGAAAAATAATTGCATTAAAATGTTGTCTAGAGTTTTTTATGTTAGTAAAAATATTCAGTGTTAGTCATTGTCCTAGGAAAAGTGCTGCTCCACTGAATTAAGTAATGTCATGCTTAATTTCAGTGAAATTAATCATGTGTCTTTCACTGTTTCCAATATTTGATTGACTCGATGATTGCCCAGTGTAGATGCCATTAATTTCTTTAATATCTATTAAAGAAATTATTATGAATGGTTGGCTGATTTATCAGAAAGCATGAAACAGTTTGCAGTTGAAGGCAATTTAGCCATTCTATCGTACTTGTATCAACTGATAAATGTAGTAGTCCAAGATCATAGTGCAAAAATTATTTCTAATAAAATACAAAAAAGGTGGAAGTATATTTAATCTAGTTATTTTGGGGCATAACAATAAGAATAAAAATTCAAATTTTGCAAAACGAAATCCAAGTGAAAGTGTCCCATTTCAATTGAAGTTAATACTTTTCAATAGGGCCTGAATTGTGACAACTATGTCCCACTAGCTTCAATAGGACTTTATCACATCTAGATTTAGAGAGTCTGAGGCCCTTAGAATGGATCTGTTAAGGAAAATTAGAGGAAAAGCAATAGGGAATGCATATACTTATTTCAGTGTTACTGTAAACCTCCTAGTAGTGTAGTATTTGCTGCACATCAATAAACAGCCACGCTTGTTATCTTATACAATAATGTATGCCTGTTGCACACTCCAAAACTGTAAGCACAGGTATAAACTCTTGGGATTTTATACACCTCACTTGCCATTTATTAACAGTCTGTGTCATTCATTTTATCTTCCTTTTTTAACATATTCTGTAGAAACTTTACAAGCAATGAAACAAATGTTAGGGGGCTTCTATGTACAATAGGGTTTAATAAAAACAACTTGATTTTTTAAAAACAAAAAAGTCCTCCTTGTTTTTAGATTTTCTTTGTTGGGTTTGATTCACTATGAAATTTCTGAAAAAGCTGTCATGGATATATTTCTTACCAAAGTCTTGTGTAGATGTTTTGTATGTAGTTGTCTGGCTAACACATTATTATTTTGGAATAAAGACATCTTTACTATGAAAACAATACTCTTGTTTCAGCTTCATGGTATTAGTATCAGATGATAAAACAATTTGCAGTCCTTTCCAAGAGTCCAGAATCTACTGTATATACTCATACAGAAATCTATAAAGCTTACACCAAAAATCCTGGGTTGACACATTGTAATGTAATGTCCTCTACTGTAACTCTTATCGAAAAAGGAACCATTCCTTTTTTTGGGTAGAATTGTGAAAGACATGAGCTTCATCTCTCCCTGGAGAACCTAAAATAAGCAACAACCCCTTCTACTCTCTCTGCTGTGGCACTGCTTCTTGCCTTTTGGAATGGTTAGGTCAAACATGGCAGGAGGAGCCAGGAGTATCGGACCTCTTGAGGTGACGTTTTTCCTTCTCTGTGGAATGATTCTTGATTTCTCCAGATATTACATCAAAATCCATAATTCTAGCCTGAAGTGATATATGCAAGTATATATGGTTATTAAGATAAAATGGATAAGGAGAAGACATGCTAAGCACTCAGCCTATCATTACTCCCTATATTTGAAGACACCTCCCTCTTCCATTGCTTATTGAACCACCCAAGTTGTGCTTTCTCACCTGTTTCCTCATCACCTGAATTGCCTTTCTCCTCCCTCTTTTCCCATGATAAGCAGCAGAATGAGCTCCTCTTGTGGTTTAAAAACTGTCAGGACAGGGATAGCTCATGGAAGTGTCTGAATGGAATGTTATCCTCCACCTACTCAATGTGAATTCTCAGCCAAAATCTCCTGATGGAAAAACTAGTTACAGTAGAATCTCACTTATCCAACATAAACGGGCCAGCAAGATGTTGAATAAGCAAAAATGTTAGATAATATGGAGGGATTAAGGAAAACCCTGTTAAATGTCAAACTATGTTATGATTTTACAAATTAAGCAACAAAACATCATGTTTTATGACAAATTGACAGAAAAACCAGTTCAATACATGGTAACATTATGTAGTAACCTCCAGTTACAATGCTCAAGTGCCAGGGCTTCCCAGATCTTAGTGTTTATGCCACATTTTTAATGTTAGCTTTATGCCCATCTTTACATTGCTTATGTTGTTCACTAACATTCTGTTTTCATTCCTGAGTTGAGAGCAAAGTAAATGCTTTGGGAGAGGGTGAGTAGGAATTCAGACAATATAGTCAGTTCAGCAAAATTGATAATGGAGGATCATTGCTTCAATTCTGGTAGTCTTTGCTTCTGCCCATCTTCCCAAAAGATTTGAGGATTTTTTGCAAACAACTCTGATGGAATTTTTCCATAAGTTGAGAGTAACTTTCAATGCTAGTGTAACTGTGAGTTTGTTGTGATTGCTGGCTGGCATTCAATTTTGGAGTTATAGATCCATAACTGCACCATATCAGTAAGACTATGTAATCTTACTCTAAAACTACATAAATGCAATCCCAGCCCACTTTAGGAACCAGCTGTTGTATCTAGAGAAGCAGGTCTATATACCCAAATTGAGTGTAAGGAGGATACCATTTCCACCATCACTACACCAGTGAATGCAGCTATGACATTAGAAGTAGGACCCCTGTTACAACTCCTTTGTTCCAGTTGCTAGCTACTCCAACCTGACTGCTGGGTCTTAAGGTTCAGTGGAGTGGGACCAGGAGATTATTTAGTTGCATAGATGTAAGTATCTAATGTAGAATATCAGTTGTTGTTATTGTTGCTGCTGCAATTATGTTTCTTCAAGTCAGCACCAACTAATGGCAACTCTATCATGGGTTTTCTTGGCAAGATGTATATTTGAAGATTTATTTGATATG